GGTTGTCTGTAAGCGAGGACAGATCTGTCTCCCAAGATCTGTGAGAGTGATGGATCGTCCTTCAGGTTAGGTTGTATATCTTTGATGATGCACTGGAGAGGTTTTAGTTGGGGGCTGAAGGTGACGGCTAGTGGTGTTCTGTTATTTTCTTTGTTGGGCCTGTCCTGTAGTAGGTGACTTCTGGGTACTCTTCTGGCTCTGTCAATCTGTTTTTTCACTTCAGCAGGTGGGTATTGTAGTTTTAAGAATGCTTGATAGAGATCTTGTAGGTGTTTGTCTCTGTCTGAGGGATTGGAGCAAATGCGTTTGTATCTTAGAGCTTGGCTGTAGACAATGGATCGTGTGGTGTGTCCTGGATGGAAGCTGGAGGCATGTAGGTAAGTATAGTGGTCAGTAGGTTTCCCATATAGGGTGTGTTTATGTGACCATTGCTTATTAGCACAGTAGTGTCTAGGAAATGGACCACTTGTGTGGATTGGTCTAGGCTGAGATTGATGGTGGGATGGAAATTGTTAAAATCATGGTGGAATTCTTCGAGGGCTTCTTTTCCATGGGTCCAGATGATGTTCAAAAAGACCAAATGCTAGTCACTAAAAACTTCAAAAATAGCCTGGAAGACCACCCCTAAACAGCACAAAGAAAAAGAGACTCCCACTGTTCCCTAAAAAAATTAAAAACAGAGCCTCAATCAGTCTCCAAACACCAAACTCAAATCCAGCTCCAACCCTCCTTCAAAATGCCCCTAATAGCAGAACATTCCTCAAGTTATTTAAAGGTTAAACATGAAAAAAAATCATCCGAAGAAGTTCCCAAACCATTGAAACAGCATAAAAAAGTGAGCTAAAGCAAGCCAAAAAGGTACCCAGAGTATAAGTACAATGCCTAAGAGCTACCAAAAGTTCTTGAAAAGGTCCAAGAAGTGCTCAGAAATGCCCAAAAGGGTTTAATTGTTTTATGAAAATATGAGGAAATGGTCCAAAATGATGTTTTGTTTTCAAATGGGGTAAAGCAAGCCCCCAATAGCGCTCAAAGGGTCCAAACATAGCTCAGTGGTAAAGAAGGTGTCAAACCTTGTCTAAAACGTATCATACAAATGTCAAGAACTCATGAGGTCCAAAAACTGCCCCATAAGGCTTTGCCCTTTTACTTGCTGAATTGTTTGGACAAATAATTTTAAGGCTGTGAGTTGCTTGCCAACTGTTCACTTCAGGCTAGTCACTATTTGAATGGTGTTGTTATTCACTACACCATTCAGTTATATTATTTCTCCTCACTAATTAGATAACTTAAACTTTAGTAGGAAAAACAATGATAAAACAGGAACAGCAAATATTACACTTCTAGTATAAATAATCATTAACACTAAAATGCCTAGAATTTTCATGATCATGATCATTTTCCTTAACATCTTTCTGTCCCATGTAATAATGTGCAATTGCAGTATATTATTCAGTCACTAGATGTCTCTGTGAGCCACAGAATTCTAGATTGGGTCCTGTCACTGGTAGACAAGAGACAAAACTAGTATTTAAGCTAAGTGGAAGTCTGCCGTGTGTGTCCATAGTCTATGGTAGTTCTCTTTAATAAATGGGTCCTGTTTAGGATGGACTGAGATTCCATATTTCAGGACATTCCTCAAATGTACATGAACAACAAATTACATGGATCAATAAATCATAACAAACTAAGCTAAGCACTTTTTTCATGAACATTTTGCAAACTGCTTTTAAAATATTTGATTAGTATTATTTCTAACTCTTTTATGCTATTTTTTTCATCACTGAAAGATTGCCTTGAAACACCTTTCTGGATTTAGATCTTCATTAGTGCAACATCTACAAAAAGCAGTCTTTTCATGCTTATTATATGCAGACCTGGCAGTACTGCTTATAGATAAAGTTGCCTTACAATTTCCCTTATAAGACCCTGTTTGTTCAGTTGCTTGTAACCATGCTAAAACTTTAACTGTTTGGGCTGAAATTTTCATGCCGGGAATCTGTCTCAGGTTGATTTTTTTTTTTTGAGACGTTTCAG